AATAGATGGGTGGTGGTTGCTGAGGTTGTGGAAATCTATGAAAGAGTATACATCATTCTGTCCAGAGGAGGAAAATATTATTAATGCATCTCAGGTATATCACTGGTTTCTGTGGTACATTTGTCCAGAAATTCTTTTTCAAGATGGCCCATGAAGAGGTTGGCATATTGAGGAGCCAGCCAAGTACCATGACAGTTCCCAGAATTTGGGGCAAAGTGTTGCTGAATAGAAAATGTGTGGATGTAATGGATGAGTCCGGAGATATTTTGGATAGATATCTTAGTGTTGTTATCAGTTATCTAAGGCTGCATGGTCATCATTGTGAGTGATGTTGGATAGGGAAGTAACCTCTATGGTGTCGAGCATGGTATTGTGAGGGAGGTTGTTAATGTTGCAGAATTTCTGGAGGAAGTTGTGTATTTATGGACTTTTTAAAAGAACCATTTGGCTCATAATTAGTCAATTAAATTAGTTTTTGATTCAGCCAACAAATTGTTTATTTAGTTAAGAGCTACAGGGCCAGCTGTCTAAAAGACAAGTTAGTTTGTACAAGATCCAGTTGACAGGGAATGAGCCAAGTCTGTCAGTAGTCTATTTAGCTTGAGAATCTGTCAGCCAGTAAAGAAAAGAGCCACATAGTACGGGAGTCATCACATTGTATTTTAGAGCCACCCTTGGCATTCTTCAATCAGCACCTTCCATTCTTATACCTATAGCCCTCTATTTTATCACCCATAAATCTCACTGTTTATGGTATTGTATTGTCTTAAGATCAACAAAGTATGAAGGCTAGCTAGAACAAAAGACAGACTATTAAACCTATAAAGTGGCTAAATAGACAAGCAACCAGCTATGTACAAAACAAAGTTAAAAATTCAGCAACTGCAGAAAGTTACAGACTGATAAAAGAAAAAAATGTTAAAGATAAAGCAAAAGGCTGCAGTTATCCAGAGATAAGCAGGATTCTTAGGACCTCTGGGAACAAATTAGCACTTCAGAATACAGAGAAGAAATTTGGGGTAGATGCCTTGTCTCTGTTGTAAGCTAAGTAATTATTCAAAGTTACATATATTTCCCCAGTGATCTGGGATAGACTGTGTGCAGTATTGACACAAGCTATTTTTAATGTAAGGTTACAAGCCAACTTGTGGGAAAGATTTTTAAAGTTACATCTGGCGTTCCATCCTTTGCTCATTCCTTTGCATCTGAGTATAGAAGCATACTCTACCTAGTAGAGAAAAATCTTTGTGCAAAGAACTCTGAAGCACCTATGTATGTTGGATTCAATTAAAGATAGGTCCTGGCCTTTCCCTTTTTTATATAATACATTTGCTTAGTCTTTTCATTACTGTAATATTGTTGCTATTAATTTCCTTTTTTTTTATTAAGAGAGAAAAAACTCCCTGCTAGAGGGAGCTGTACCAAGACCAAGCAACTCTCTGCCGGATGAAATAAGAATAACCACCGATGTTGGTGCTTCAATAAGCACCTACAAAGATAGGTATAGGAGGATTGATTATGCTAATTGCTGTTTATTAACTAAATAGATCATTTTAGGGATACTTTCAATGTTCACAGAATCTCAAAAGTTGTGACCCAGCTAGCTGCTCAGCATAAATAGGCCCCTGGTGCTGGCATGAAGTTCCTTTACAAGTCAGTAGGATTTTGTATGAGTGCAGGAGTCTGTCTGAATAGACCTACATCCAGGATGAAGGTCAAGATAACAAAGGCCCAATTCTGAATCTTGGGAACTTAACATAGGGTGCCTGCTTTCATATTTTGATGGGCTGATTAGTTTTTAGGCATTCAAACATCTATTTGAACTGCCAGCATCGTGCAAGATTTGTGGGTCTTGGTGCCATGTGCAAATATTTAAATAATAGTTTGTCCATTTTTTTTGTTCTGGATGATATTGATACATGGATACTGTATCTGCTTTTGCACTACCATGTGCACTAGTGTAAATGTTTTCTTTACCTGATTAGTATTTTTTCTTGATGGGAAACATTAAATTTAAAAAAAATCAGAAAACATGTTTCATTTTGACATTTACTTCTGAAAGTTTCTTGGATGACCTCCCCACTGTTTTCCCTGGACATGTTAGTGGTACAAATTTTCATTCAGTTATTGAGCTTTGCTGCCATGTGGGATATTTTTTTTTTTGGTCCTGTATTCTGCTGCTTTCCTTCCACCCTGCAGATGGGATATTATTAAAAAAAGTTTTAGTTAAGTTCCTTAGCTCTTGAATGTGTCTTAGTAAATAATGTTACTTGGGTCATTAGTATCTTGATTTCCCTTCTATTAATGGAGTACTTTATTAAAACCTTATTAGTATATTTCCATTCTTAATAGGAAATAAAACTCCTGTGGTCTTATCAGAGTCTGTAAGATAAGTAGTCCTGATATTCTTCTGTACTGGGCTGCAAACTTTGAAGGAAAACCTAGATGTTGGAGGAGATGATGGTTGATATTGAGTGATACTACTCTTTCCTCCAAGTCGATATAATATCAATTACACCATTCATAATAATGAGCTTTTACAGGACTGGAGCCAATGCTCATTGAAGTCAATAGCACATTGTAGTACATTATGTCCAGAGATGCCTCATCAAGCCAGGTAAGTTCTGTCAGCACCATTTTACAGATGACATGCCTAAGGTGTCTCACACACAAGTTGTCAGTGCCAAGAATGGAAGCCAAGAATCTAACAGCCTAGTCATTATATCACCCACTTCCAGAGTTTGTAACAGCCCTGATGATGCCTGAGGCTTTGTTTTTCAAGTAAAATATGAAACTGGAGTTACATGTCTCACCATTTGTCCACACAATCACAGCAACTGATAAGGGACTTCAAGTCAATTAGGAGTATCTTTCTTATTTGGAATTTACTGTGCAAATTGAGAGACAGTTTTAGCCATATTTTGTTATATTTCTTGACAATTCTTCCAGAATAGATTCTGAGCTGAAGTACTTTGTTTATGAAAAGTTTGATTTTTTTAACAAGATTTTTAGTTGTGCCTGCAAAAAATTTATCTAATTATGTTCCTAATCTCCATTCCTATTTAGCACAATTAGGTATGGAAATTAGATAACTATACACACAAATGGCCATCATCAATTATGTGCATGATTCAGCTATTGATTTGCACAGCCAATCAAGATCTCTGCACTCACAAAAAGTGTGCACAATTTAAAAAAAAATCAGACCAGCAAAGCCTGCTTTTTTCAGCATGTATGGAGTTGGGGGGGGAGGGCAAGGAAGGATGTTACCTCCCTGTGACTGCATGCATAGTTTGTGGGAGTGGCATAATTTAAGGGTTCAGCTGTCCCTTGTACAGCTTGAGTCACACACACCCATCTGGATAGGCTCCCTCCCACCCTCAGGGATGCTATGTCTCACTGGGAAAGGGTCAGCATTGTGGAGTCCCATGTCAGGAGCCAACCAGCAGCCCCCCAAGGGCAGAAGTGGCAGAAGACAAAGCAGAGCCACAAGCTTGTCAGTGGTGGGTTGGGAGAAGAGGGTGGCACATGGAGTTTGAAAACAATAGTATTTTTTGCATCTTATCTGACCTGTAAGACTTCTTTAAACCTGAGTCCTGTTTTCTGTAATTTATGGAGCATGACACTTATTCCTGTTGTGATTAACATTCAGGAGTCTAAAATCCAAGTATTTATATTGTCATGGCTATTCAAAGATTTTGCAAATAATTGTGGTCTTAATATCCCATTGACTTCAACACACCCAATGTTGTTCTAAAATACAGTCCCACCATGTTTGCCCTAAGAAGACCTTAAGGTTCAAGTGCTGGTGAGTTTTTCAGACTTAGGAAGGTTTCTCAGCAAATCCACTTGAAGATTCCAAGAAACAAGGTGCCTTTCAGAGCCCTTTTATTAGGTCTTTTTGTCACAAGATTGTAGTTAGTGCCTGCTGGCAAACTTGAGCTGAGCCAACAGCTGAGTTGTCGGTTTCTCAACTGCCCTGCCCGACACAATGGCAACAATTCTTCCACTGATATGTGACACAAACTCCAATCCCTGGGTACCGCACATTTAGGAAATAGGAAAAAAAGATCCAGAAAAATATTGTTATTGGACAAGAAAGGAATGATGCTATTAGTATTGAATAGCATGAGAGTGATGTGTAATGGTAAGGGCATAGAAATCTGCTGTACTTAAAATAGTTCTGTTACCTTCTTTACAAGGGCCACAGTTTATTTGCTGTTATGGGAAAAAAACTATTTTAGCTTGTACAACTGCTAGTAGGACTGCACCTTTTGAAAGCAATGGCTGAAAAAGGCAGGGGGCTCGTACAACTAGAACATCCAGGGGAGCCGGGGAGACTCTGTTCTGGAGGAAATACGAGCTACGGAAAACAAAACCCAGCCAGGTTTAAAATCACCTGGAAATAGGGAATCCCAGGCAACGCCACTTGCCTACTCCAATATCCGCTGTTCTGCCTCCGTCCCCCCAGCAATGCCCTTCAACCCGCGAGCAGAGCATCCTGGCAGAACGTTACCCCCAGGAGCCACTTGGCAGCGCCAGTCAGCGAAGTCCAGCCGTGGGGAGCTTCAGCGATGGAAGTCAAACCCCACGAGTTCCATGCCCTCTCCCGCCATTGGCCAGCGTTTGCTTGCGAGGAGGGCGGCGTCCGTCCGCCTGCCTGGGGTCTTCTGCAGCAGTGGGCACCGGAGGCTGCTCGAGTTACCGACCAAGCCCGGCCCCTTGGGTTCTGAGTTCCCCAGCCGCTCGCGGCAGCGTTAGACCGGGGCCCTGGCGCACTTCCATGCGGTTGGGAAGGTGCGTTCCAGGGAGCTTCCCCCTGTCTCGCGATTTTCCTCTTCGCCCCTTGCAAACAGTAACGAAAACACGCTGGAGGCATTCAAGGGCTGTTCAAAGGGGTCCTGTTGCCCTCTAGACTTTATAGCAGCTGGAAAAAAAGAAGTTGTTACGCCCGGGACGACGTAGTTGAGTGTGTGTGTGTGTGTGTGTGTGTGTGTGTGTGTGTAAAAAAGCTTTCGTGGGCAAAGACCCATTTCCTCAGATGTGTGTAACTCGTGCATTACTGTAGTCTAAGGCGCTCCCCGTTCAGACAGGTGATCCCTGGGCAGGTTTCTTATGACATCCCTCTTCTGGGAATTGTGGCAGAGAGCGAGAGGGGGGAAGAGCCCCGCTTGGCACGCACCCTGCCGATGGTATCGCACACAGCATCCTGGCAAGCGCTGGGATAAGTTCCCGGCTCTGTCAGCAACAGCCCAGTCCACGCTCCGGCAGGACAAGAGGGGGAGCAGGATCTGAGCGAGGGATTCCCGGCCACGGCAAATGCTTTTATTTCGCCAGGATCTCTCGCGCTTCTCTTGCTCATCAATAATTCACCCGCGGGCTTTTTTTCGTGGCATGTGAGGGGGGAGCGAGGGGGCGCCGGGAAGGGAGGGTCGCGTGTGTGTTTGCTTTGGCGGGCTGTTTTCAGGAGATCGCTAAAGGACAAAGGGTCTTTTAAAAAAACCATCTGGGAAGACTTTGACTTTCCCCCCAGAATCGCTGGAAAGGAGCGTGCGAAGCTGCCGCTGCTGCTGGTGGGTTTCCCTGCTCGCTGCTGCTGGCTGGGTGGCGTGGTGGAAGGCGAGGCTGGGGCGCTCCGAGCGAGGCTGCGCTGCTGCCGATGGTGCTGAACATGGGCGCTTCGCACAGGGCGCTGTCCATGGTGCCGACGGTGCTCCTGGCCCTGGCTCTCCCCAGCCTGCCGGTCTGGGCGCAGAATGACACGGAGCCCATCGTCCTGGAGGGGAAATGCCTGGTGGTTTGTGACTCCAACCCGGCCACGGACGCCAAGGGCTCGTCCTCCTCTCCCCTGGGGATCTCGGTGCGCGCGGCGAACTCCAAGGTGGCCTTCTCGGCCGTGAGGAGCACCAACCACGAGCCCTCGGAAATGAGCAACAAAACCAGGATCATCTACTTCGACCAGGTACAGCGCGCCCCACACGGGGTGGGGGTGGGGGTCGGGGGGCGTGAGGTGACTCGGGACAACCCAGCCAGGCGAAGGGACGAGGGGAGTTAGGAGCTCGTGGTTACCCAAGTGGCCAGGTAGAGATTCCTCCAGCCTGCGCTCTCGCCCTTGGCCCCAGGACTTTCGATCCAGCCGGGCGGCTGGGAACTAGATAGCGGCGACTCGCTTAGCCAAAGAGGCCGAATCAACAGGTGGGAGCAGAGCTGGGAGCTTGTCAAAATCCAGGATCCCCGCTGAAAGCGACCGCCTGGAAAGTTACTTGTAGGCTGAGCCATTGTTGTGCATTTCAGACCCGCACTGTCTGGGTCTCCCACGCTCGCTGGAGGCTGATATTTTAGCCACCTCACCCCTGCAAAAGAGAGGAAACGCCAGCACAGCATAGACCAGGGAGCCGTACCAAGTCTTTGGTCTGAAGTCTAAAGTGGCAGAACATTCGCATCGAGCCTTCAAGTACTTTTTAAAAGTTGCATGTAGCTAATAGCTCGAGGAAGGGTAATTTAGACAAGCAGCAGGTTTACGGATAGTTGTGAGGGGCTTGTACTTTTGAACATGTAGATAAAGCTTTCAGATCGCATTGCTCATGAGGGCACTCTTCAAACGTGGTTCATGTGGTTATTTCGGTTAAGTTTATAAAAGATCATTTTATTTAGTACTGTAATAGCTGAGGGGAGGTTTTAAGAAGATTGGGAGACAGGCTGAGATTTACAGACGACCTACAGCTTCAAAAACCCCTCTAACAGAATGGCTTTTTGCTCCCTTTACATCAGAATGCACAGTGCAACATGGAAGGTGGAAAGGAAAATAAGTGCCAATAATTTATCATTTGCATGGACTCTAATACTAAAAACACAGGTCACACAAATAGTTTTCTAAAATATCCATTACACTTTAGTTATACCAAGTCAGTATTTTAAAACGCTTGATTTGACATTTTAAATGATATTTTTAAACCCCAATGCTTATCCCTACAAGGGTCAAATACATATTCCCAATGAATGAACAATCTGTACAGCCAAAATAAAATCATACCTGAAAAATTCCTTTTAAATTAAAAACCACTAAGAACCAACAATGCCCCCCAAAAGACAGTGTTTCTTTTTATTTTTAAAGAGCTTGTGCTCTTCTTCTGGAACCTTTGTGGCAGTTATAAATAGGGAGGGATGCCCCTTTCACAGAAATGGGATCACACACATTTTAAGTAAGTGTCTGAGTATAAATGAGAAATATAGCTGAGCTAGACATAGTCATTATATGGTGTGAACTCCAGGCAGAAATTTACATTCAGTTTTGTAAGCTGCCTTACACCCACTGTAACCAAAAAGACTTACTCCAGCCCTAGGGCATTGTATAAAATAGCTAATGAAGCTTAGGTAGTTTCTTGGAATGATTAACCTACTTGGTTATTGATCCTACTAAGTTACTGAGAGAATGGGTAACTCAGCTTAGAGATGGGTTTTCACTTGGCTTTTCTGAACCAAAATAAAGATAAAATGTGCTTGGAATTTTTGAGTTTTAGTTACCACATTGTCAATAATTTTTTCAGGATACAGGATGACATATGGGGATATGTAGGAGACCTAGACATATACAAAAAGCATCTGAGAGCCCCGTTTAAGTGAAAAAGAAGATGTAACGAGGGGTTAAAAAGGTGTTCTCAGATGCAGCTGTTGTACCTAAAGTTTCAACATTGTTTCATTCATTACGTGGAATTAGTTCACAACATTTCAAATATCCACAACTTGTCATGTTACTATTTTCATCTCAGTCAGACCTATGAATATGCACACACCTGCACTCCTGTTTCATATATCAGCCTTGTACTGGAGCAGATCCAAAGTAATTGAGATTGAGAGTTAGTTTACTTACACTGTCATATCATATTTGGCTATACATTTTCATGACATCTGAGAATATTTTAGAATTCTGGAATTTTCCAGGTTATTTTCGCTCTTTGGGCAGTGTGTTTCTTTAAGAGAACTTGAAAAGATGAATTAAAATAAAGAATAAATAATTGAAAAGAAAGAAGGTGCTTAATTATAGAAGATATTTAACATATGAAGGATGTAGTTGTTTAATGTCTGGTTGCTTGTCTTTAGTCATTTAAGAATGCCTACATTGTTAAAAAAAGTGTTTTCAGCTAGAAATAGAGCAGAAAAGAGAAATTACAAATATTTATAAATCCAACGTTGTTTAAAATAGGCAGGTCATGTATTCTGGCAACTCAGGCCAACTCAAAGTGTCATTTATACACATACTGCCTTGTAGCTGGATACTTTCAGGGATGATGGCATTGCTTTGACCAAGGCTGATTGGTCAAGGCTAATATGTTACTCCTAAAATTGTGGTGTTTTCAGTAGGTATTTTGAGACCACCCAATACCTGCTATACCCATGGAGAGAGCTAATATTTGGAGCCCCTATCAGGCAGCCAAGTTGGGCAGTTATTTCTATGCTAGTTGAAACATGACTTGAAAATGAAAACAAACCATAATTTTACATACCATAGTTTAATATCAGCGAATATAGAAATAAAAAAGAATTCTGGAATGCAATTAGATGGAAAAAATTGGATGATTGGATGCCTGCTTCTAACATTAATAATTTATATTCTTTTATGTAACATTGAATAATCGTATTAATTCCCATTATATATTTTGTTTGTAGATCCTAGTAAATGTGGGAAATTTTTTCACACTGGAGTCTGTCTTTGTAGCACCAAGAAAAGGAATTTACAGCTTCAGTTTTCATGTAATTAAAGTCTATCAGAGTCAAACAATCCAGGTATGTTGATTTAACATGAGAAATTTATATGCAAATTGTTTCCATTCCAGAATGAGAATAAAGTGGTGACTAAACAAAATATCATTATAAATGGTGCACATAAAAAGAACATTTTTCTGGTTCGTTTAGAAACCCAGTGACCTCATTGTATTATACTTCTTAATTGAATACTTTAGTGTCTACATTTGAGATAAATGGATATAAAAATGTCAGGCCGGATCCTCAGCTGATGTAAATTCTCACAGCTCCATTGCTCTGTTCATTCACACTAGATGAAGATCTTGGCTAAACTATTTAAAATAATATATATAAAGGTCACTCACCACTAAAATGCCCCTTTTAATTTAGCTCAATTGAGTGAATCCTTCAAAGCAATCCTCTGTTGCTAGTTAGCAACCAGGTGAAACCCATTGTAACGATGAGCAGGATTCTGGGGACATATTCTGTATAAATCATGAACCTCTAGAGACTACGTGATGATATCAGGTAGCGGTTTAAAAAATGACCCACAATAGACTGGGACTATACAAAATGACTACTCTGGACCACAACTATAATATTATAAATCTTCATGGGGGATGGTGGTAGTGATTGTCTTAGAGAGGTTTGCTGTTATATTACCGTGTTGTGTTGGAAAAATGCAGAAAACTGTACTTGCCTTTATAGTTCAATAGCAGTACTGGGCTCAGAGTCTGACATACACACCAGCCCGGAGAACCAACCTCTAGGATCCTGAACCAGTTTAGCCAAGAGCTAAACTGCCAAAGGGTGAAATTCACACCAGGGTCAGAATATGAGGCTACTGTGCAGCCCCTCATCACAGAGTAGGTATGCCAGGAGTGAACCAATGACTGTAGCTTTCATTGAGAAGACTGGACCATGATCTGTGGTTTCTATTTGATCTTCCTCTTTTCTCCCGTTTTTCCTGATTTGACCTTCTATATTGGCCTATATCAGGGAAATCTTTTCTGTAGCACGTCTATGATATACAGGCACCCTTGGGTGCTTGGTCTTCCTGCAGGCTTCCTGCACATCCCCTGTGCAGGATTCAGTGGAGCAGACTGGTGCAAGAATCCTCTGAATCACAGGTGAATTTCATCCTAAAGATATGGAGTGAAATCTTGGCCCCATTGAAGTCAATGGCAAAATTACCATTGATGTCTGTGGAGTCAGGATTTCATCCATAAGCTATTAAAAGGTTATATAGTCAGCTCATGCTTTCGTTCCTTCTACTCTCTTAAATGTGTATTTGATGAAAGATTAAACGTATTCTAGAATCATTCTGTTCATCTCCTATGTGCTTAACTCACCTGTTGGCAAAGGTGGAGCTAAGATGTGAATGTTGTGGTAGGGCAACAAAGAAAATTGCACGCTTCCATGGAATTTCTGCTCATAGTTTCATGTTTTTTCCTCACATATATGGGCTAAAATGCTCAGAACTGTGAGTTTCAGGTCTGTCACTGAATGTGAAATACAAGAAAATTATATAGCTAGCAGTAATTTCTGAAGCTAAGATTTTCGAAAGTACCTAAAGATATTCAGTGCCCTCCCTTGAAACTCCCCCACACTCTGAAAATCAGATCCCTTTTGAGATGACTCCAACAGTACATTCTAAAGCTAAGGCACCCAAAATCACTAGTCACTTCTGACAACATGTCTGATTCATCACTTTAAAACAAGGTCATGATGTTTGCACAGATATGTTGTAGATCAGAAATTGCTCCATTAAATCCAGTGAACATGTACCAATGTAAATACGAGTGGTACAGGTCCAAATTTTGCAATTTTTACATAACTGCCTTTTTAGCTCCATTTAATCAAGTTCATTAGACCCCTCAATCAGGTTATACTAGTAAATGGCCTTTCATTCTTAAGCCAGTAATAATGCTGGCATCCAGGTCAGCTGTTGAACTTCAGAAAGCTCTTTATGTTAAGACTAAATGAATGGAAGGAGGCCTTATATCCAATAAAAACTACATGTAGTCCTGTGGCACTTTAGAGATTAACAAATATACAGGATCATGAGCTTTCCTGGGTAAAACCCATTTTACCAGATGAGTTGGAGTCCACTTCTGATGAAGTGAGTTTTACCCATGAAAGCTCATGATCCTGTATATTTATTAGTCTCTAAGGGCATGTCTACACAGCAGGGCAACAGTCTGATTAAACTATGCAACTTCAGTTACATCAATTGTGTAGATGACATCAAAATAACTTAATTCGGCTTTTGGCACCGTCGAAGAAGAGCACTCTTCCTTCGACTTCCCTTACTCCTCGTAAAATGAGGGTTACAGGAGTCAGAGTAAGAAGTCCTCCAGCTCACCATTATTTCAAAATAATGGCTTGCTCTGTAGACATGCTTTTTGTTATTTCGGAATAACGTCAGTTATTCTGAAAGAATGCTGTTGTATAGACATAGCCTAAGGTGCCACAAGACAACTTGTTGTTTTTAAAGTTACAGAATAACATGGCTACCCCTCTGAGACTATCTCCAAGAATATAGGGACCAAACCTGCTATTTCTCCAGTACTGTGACAAGGACACTGTGAGATGCCCAGCATGGGAGCTGGTGTACAAGGAGTGAGATAGTAGCAGGGAACAGGCGGTGATCAAACCCTTTGTGCACTTTTTGCATGTATCATAGCTAAGGAGGGACTGGAAACTATTGCAGTGGAACTAAATGACTAAACCAGCTTTAGTCTCAGACTCACACAGACTTGAAGACCACTAAATCACCAGAAGGCTTCCCACAAAACTGGAATTACCATATCCCTGAAACATCTGTTAGTGCCATTAAGTACCATTAGAGTGAAATTGGTTCCCTGGAGACATCTGATTAAGTGGATTTCCAAGATAAGCAAATCCCAATTAAGGTTCAGATTCTGCTGCCTTACTCTATAAATGCTTCTATTAAAATTAATGAGCATTCTCACCAGTTGGGAATATTTAACAGGTAAGCATCAAGTGATCCCTCTCCTGTCACCCATTTCCAGCCTCTGACAAACAGAGGCTAGAGATACCATTCCTACCCATCCTGACTAATAAGTATCAATGGATCTAACTTCTATGAGTTTATCTAGTTGTTTTTTTGAACCCTGTTAAAGTCCTGGTCTTTACAACATTATCTGGCAAGGAATTCCACAGGTTGACTGTGTGCTGCATGAAGAAATACTTTCTTTTGTTTGTTTTAAACTTGCTACCTATTAATTTCATTTGGTGACCCCTAGTTCTTATGTTCTGGGAACAAGTAAATAACTTTTCCTTATTTGCTTTCTCCATATCAGTCATGATTTTATAGACTTCTATCATATCCCCCCTTAGTCTGCTCTTTTCTAAGCTGAAAAGTCCTAGTTTTTTAATCTCTCTTCATATAACACCCATTCCAAACCCCTAACCATTTTTGTTGGGAATGGATGACAGGAGATGGATCATTGGATGATAACCTGTTCTGTTCATGCCCTCTGTGGCACCTGGCATTGGCCACTGTTGGAAGACGGGATAGTGGGCTAGATGCACCTTTGGTCTGACCCAGTATAGCCGTTCTTATGTTTTAATTTTACATCTAGCTATCTGGCTACATGTATGTATTAGTAGAAGAGGCAGATTTTCAGAGTATTAAGATGCACAATAGGGGCTTAGTTGGGTTTTTCGAAAGCCCTTAAGCCAGTAAGGCACCTAACTCCCACTGTAACCACAATATGTGGCTTTTGTCTTTTTGATTGCAAGTTGGTTTTATAATCTAGGACAAATTGCCTCTTTATATGTCACTCTGCTGTATTTCAGTCTTGGTTCTATTCAAACCTTTGACATGAATGCATGCTTAGGCTTTTGAACCATCTCATATGCAAAAAGACTCAGCTAGCTGGTCACAAAATGGCGGAGAAAATGCTAATCTTTTCTAACTTTTTAATAAAGCAGTGAAATTTATTCTTTACCAACATTAGTTACCAAACATTTTGTCACAGTCTTAACTTTAATGCAGCCATGGGGAACTCTTATATTCTTATGAAAGTCCACATTAAATAGAGGAACGAGCATGTTATCTGAGTCAAAACCCTATGAAGTCCACTGACAGCATTCCATTGACTTCAATGAGCTATGTAATGGGCACAATAAACCTGTCAACAAAGCAAGCAGTCATATCACCATTCATTGATCATTTGAAAGGAAATAAGGTATAGATGCTGTATAATGGGATTTGAACCAGGCCCCACCACACTTTAGATACTTGATATCGTCAGATGCTTCACTGTTAACTAGAATTTTCAGTGTTTTCTTTTTCTTGTAGGTTAATCTAATGCTAAATGGAAAACCAGTAATTTCTGCCTTTGCTGGGGACAAAGATGTCACTCGTGAAGCTGCGACTAACGGCGTCCTTCTCTATCTAGACAAGGAGGATAAAGTTTACCTGAAACTAGAGAAAGGTAATCTGGTTGGTGGATGGCAGTACTCCACATTTTCTGGGTTTCTGGTCTTCCCTCTGTAAAGTCAACTTCCTTCTGACATTCATCCAGATGTGGACCAATCATTGCCTCTGTTATTTGAAGATCATTTTATCATTGGATTGATGTTTCTTTATTGATTTCTCATGGGTAACTATGGATTCTATTTATGGATTTTGACCCTATCTGAACTACTATGAAGTTTCACAGAATTTTGTGTGTTTAAATACAGTATATTTGGATTACGACTTAAAGCAGACCATAAATATCTATGCTTAATGTTACAGTCTAAAGCTGCCTGCAAGATTTATTCAGATTTCATTTATGGGACTTATTGGATTCATGGGAGAAGTGGATTTTCTTTTCTTTTTAAAAGACTGGCAACTGGGTCTATAAATTAGGAGATTTTGAGTTCAGACTTCAATCAAGAGTTAGTGTGTTGCTGCCAAAGAACTGTATATTGATATATTTGGTTATACATATTTTTGTTCTTTTGGACACTATAGACATAATTTATTTCATTTTCTTGAAAAAGATCATTACTATTACTGATAAGTGATTCATTTTATTTCTCCTCTACATGTAGTGGATTGGATGGCTCACCAATATATTTACTCTCAGTCAAGGATCATGATGAAGATTACCCTACTGAAAGCTAAGAAGTTGTATTTTAATTGGACATGTAGTGCAAATTATAATACTAAAAAAGTGCTTATCTGAGTTAAAAGTGATCTGTCCAGCACATCTCTGCAAAACAGCTATGCCCTGCAGGAAAGCTCACATTTGTTCTTCAACTTTAATTAGCATGATTGATATCACCCACTTTATTAAAAACCGAAGGGATGCCTTCCTTAGACATAACCACTTTATTAGCTGGAGATGAGACCCCTTGTTTTTAATTATGTCTATTTTTCAAGCCTTCTGTTGTGTTAAAGGTATCATCTGTTTTATGCCTTAACTCCACAAATGTGTACATAAATAAGTCATCTGTTTAGCAAATATTAAATCCAAATAGCTGGTATCTAAATTTTGTCTTTTTGTACAGGTCTTATGAATTCATAGGTTTATTTATTAAGTTGCTATTACATAATAAAAAATTAATATATGTTAGCTGGATATTTTTTTGACCATTGGGTTTTGGATATATGTCTCTTACCCCATCTCTTAGTTAGTTGTAATTATTATATACAAAGTTAAGCTTTTTCAATTCACAGAAAGTGTTCCATAAAGCCGGTAAACTTTTCCTAAAGGTAGCCTGCATTAGCTAGAAGTAACCTATGCATTTTATTAATAAAACACTTAGGTTGAAACCCTGTCCCCATTGAGGTCAATGGCTATAGTCCCATTGACTTCACCCTTAGAGACTAATCCAAAACCCACTGAAGTTAATGGATCCTGTTGACTTCAGTGGGCTTTGAATAAGGCCTTGGTAGTGGGATTTTGCCATTCTGAATTAAAAACCAATGCAATCACAAAGAAAATCTAATGAATAAGTGCTTTTATACAGGCTGTCAGTAAAACTTCCAGTCCTGCATTCCTTATGCATGCAAAATATCCACTGACGTCAGTGGGAATTTTGAGTTTGCATGGAATGCAGCATCTGACCCAGACTTAGAGAAAATGTGGAAGCCTTATGAAAATGAAAGTATTTATGAACCTGAGGGTGTTGACACATTGAATTCCTGATCGAAATTCCATCGAATTAAATGGAAAGTGCTCAGTTGACTTTAGTGGGGGAGTCTTACCCTTCAAGTAATCTTTTGCCACCTTTTCAGCCACGTGCAGTATTGCCACATTTTTCCTACCATTGTTGATTGGCATTCAGAAATTCCACTCATTTGGGGTCCAGTCCCAAACCTATTAATGTCCCTGATATAACTTCCATTGTTGTTAATAGAAGAAGATTGTGCATAAATGTAAAAAACTTTCAGAAGTGATGTCAACATGTAAGCAATTCAAGATTTGTGTGTGTGTATGTGTGTGAGTATGTATAATATTGCCTTTTAGGTGAAGTGTTTCCAGATAGAACATTTCAGAGCTGCAAATTGGGAGGTTACAGGAAGATATGGCCGGGAGGAATCTGATTTACATCTGGTAAAAATATGAACATATTTGTCATTACAATTAATCAAACTATATTACAACATAAAACAAGTATATATACTCATTAGAAAGTGGGACTGCAGTATCTAATGTGTATGGAATATGGGAATGGTAATTTGTTTTGTTGCCAGAGGAGTTTCCAGAGAGGTACATAAAAATTGAATAAGATCTGCAAAATCCAAAAGTTCACTTTACCTATCATTATAAAAATAACATAAAGAATTTAAAGGAGAAATAAGGATAAAACTGGCAGTATGCATTTAAACATGCTGCAAAGTGTGCCTGGTGTTTAGGCCCCATTCAATACCTTATTTGAGAAGGATCCTGTATGAATATAACTACTTTAACTTCTGAACAGATGATTTCTTAAGGCTGCCTTCAGCATTCAGCAATGATTCTAGTACATCTTAATGTACAGATAATTCCTCTTGGCAAAGTATTTCTGACTTCATGAGAGTCATTAGCAGTTACTTAAAATTTAACCAGGAAACACAAGCAGTTATTAAATATGGAGCTATGTACCGTTAAGATGTTCCTGAACTCTCTTCTTGGTGCTCCAAAAAATGCAAACACAAAAATGACTTTGACTGCTGTATTTTTTTTAAAACCTGTCCAGTGTGAACACATGTATCTTTATATGATCTATAATCTGAGGAGCTCAAAGGAGGTCTCTGAACTGATGGAACAAGGGTGCAGATGGGACCACTGAACATCTTTCATAATTTAACAATAGGAATGAAAATGATAGCAGCACATCCAAAGTGTCAATACAAAATGGCCAGTGGGGAAAACCTCCTATGGAACAGCTGGTACATCTTTAGCAACTGGAATAGCTAAGATCCTTGATCTAAAAAAATAAGGTTGAGAAAGAGATGTCAAGTTTTCTGATTGTCTCATGATGGCCTTATTCAGCTCTTTCACAAAGCTCTCAATGATATCCCTGGGAGCTTTATCTGGAAAAGCATTCTGAATTGTGGACTAGTCTATGAAAAATGGAGTTTAGCATCTACCACTTTCTTGTTTTCTTTTACGCGAATCTAAATGTTTTTTATTGTTGAGAAAAAACAGATAAAAAGACAGCGTGTCTTTGGTCAACTGGTATCTAAAGTTAGAGCTTTATTTCAAAAGCTTCAAATACTGCATTTTCATAAAGGCAAACATTGGTTTTGACTTATGCAATGCAAACATACCCTGGATTTTCACTATAGACAGGCAATCTCTTCTGGGATGTTTACATTACAATTGCAAAACCATGGCTGACCCATGCTAGCTGATTCTAATTTTCAGGGCTCAGGCCAAAGGGGAAGGGTCCCAGTGCACAGGCTACATCCCAAGTCTGAACACTGACACTGCATTTAAACAGTCGCTTAACCCAAGACAAAGTCAGTTTCCATGGGCCAACCATGAGTGCAATGTAGAAATACTCTCAGCCTCAGTGAAACCAATGAGATGCTTGCCATTGGCTTCAATAGGGACCAGAATATCATCCTCAATTTTTAGAAGACAGCTCAAAACAGCATACACAATAGGAAAGATTCATGTTTTCTTTCCAGAACCAATGTTCTGGGATATGAATGGGATGCAATTGTTTTTCATCAAATGGAAAGGGAGGGCTCTGATAGTAGGGACAGCTATACTCCCAAATGACCACAGGGGGGCAGCAAGCAAAGGGGGACAGTTATACTCCCAAATAACCAAGGAGGAAGCAGCAAGTGCTCCAATCCTGGGAAGCAGCTGGCAGCTCGACTGCACCACTCCTGCCATCTGCAGCTGGCCCCAGGGAAAAGCTGGCAAATGGGCTGTACAACCCCCTCCACCCCAGACTATCCCTGGGAGCAACTTCTGGCTACCCGCACTTCATTCCCTGAATCCCCCACCTCCACCACTGAGCCCCCAAACTTTGTTGGTTCTAGCTCTTACCATTTTGGAGGAGCTCTTGAATAAATGGACTCACAGATGGATGGACTGACACACAGACAGACACAAACTCTCTTAAATGTGTAGTAGATGCATTTTATAGTCAGATTGCTTATATAGAATGGTTGAGCATGTTAGGATCTAGATCTTTCTGGCCCATCTGTAGAAAACACCAAGAAGTATGTGGCTACGGTAGCTATCCTTCAGATCTAAGGAGAAGCTATTCACCATAATCTGCTGCTCAAAGCAACTCTTTAGTTTTGCACCTCCAAAGTCACTCAGATTTGGCCCTTCCATCTCTTTGTCATGAGAAAGGGCTGGGTGATCTATATCCTAGCAAATAGCATTTTGACCAGGTGCATGGGGTCTTAGTACCACTCAAGATTAGTTCAGCCACCCTTCCTTTATAATGGAGAAGTGGGTGGGTTAATGCCTAGGTGATTTAGGAGTTCAAAGATAACATTTTCAAAAGCACCTGCTGCTTAAACCACTTCTAAAAAGGGGATGTAGGCTCCTAAAACACATAGGTGGATTTTTGAAAATTTTACCTATTTTCTTTTTCATGGAGAAAAATTGTTAAACTAATTTTATGGTATAAAAGAGAAAAAATGAAATCTTGATCAAAATGTGATTCCTTAAAGTAACTTCTGCATTGCTTTGAATCTGTGTTCTATATTTCTATTGTACCCTAGCATTGTCCAAGTGCTAATTAGCGCATCGTTCCTGGAGCCCCTAAGAGGTGGATAAGTAAGGGTACGTCTACACTAACCCCCTAGTTCGAACTAGGGAAGCTAATGAGGGCGACTGAAATTGCTAAGAAAGCACAGGATTTAAATATCCCACGCTTGATTAGCATATTCCCAGCCGGTCACCATTTTGGAACCTGACTAGCCCGAAGTTACTGCCCGTGTCTACATGCAGCAGAGAAGTGGGATTACGAGATAACCCCTTTAGTTTGAATTAACTGTTACTCCTCGTGGAATGAGTGTAGATACCCTTATTTTTTATAGCTGGGACATGGAGGAGCAAAGTTTAACGACACACCCAAGGCCATAGAGGGGGTCAGTGTCAGAGTCAGGTTTAGAACTTCTCAGCTTCTGTCTCCTAGTCCCATGTTCAGTTCATTGGACCACACTTTGCTGAGTTAAGGCATTTTGAATAAAAAGACAATGTCAGAATGAATGGCACATATGGGTATTTCATCTTTATATCATGTATCCTTCCATGTCTAGAAGGCTAAATGAGATAAAACAGCTCAGTTATAATAATACCCCTTTCTGAAAGTGGTGTTTTTCATAAGTAGATCTCAAAGCACTTTACAAAGGAGGTCAGTACTATTATCCTCATTTTATAGGTGGGAAAACAGAGTTGAAATGACTTGCTATGATCACCCCATAGCTACAAGTTAGAAAACTTGCATTCTATTCCTGCCTCTCACTGGGCTAAGTGCTCCTGATCACTCAGCCTCCTCAAAGACCTAACAAGAGCCCAAAGAATTTCTAAAATGAGTTATCAGCTATTTTCTTTCAAAAGTGACATATAAACAGTGCAGAGAGTACTCTTTACACCTAGCATTTGGGATTGAGATGATAAATTCAAGAAGCAGTATGTCATAATAACAAGTAGCTGACCCATTAACATGAAAATATAGTCTGCAGCAAGAAAATGAGGTATGTTCTACCCTCTTTATAATGGTTGCTATGTGGACAAAATCCTTTAAAGTATTTAGACATCTAACTTTGATATTAATGGGAGTTAGGGAACTAAGTATATTTGAAGATCCAGGCCTGCATTGTTAATACTTTAGCTTAACAGTTTTCTACATAGTTACTTTGCAAATAGCAACAGGCCTTTATATAGACCCTTTGTCTTTTAATGATAATATGAAGCAGAAGGTGAAGTATGCATAAATGAATATCCCCAATGCCATAATTTATGGTTTGTCACAGACTGCAACAGCAAATATTTTGCATTATTGTTCAAACTGAACAAGTTCCTCTGAGAAAACACATTGTCTTTGACACTGGGCTGAGAAGTTATTTATCTGTTGCTGGTTAGTATGGTGTGTGTGTGTGTGTGTGTGTGTGTGTGTGTGTGTGTGTGTGTGTGCGTGTGTGTGCGCGCACGTATGCATGTGTGGAATATCCTTCCTGCTCTAAAGCAGTAAGGAAAAAGCATACAAAGGTGATGATAAAAATCAGGCACTGTTATATAAGTGATGATGAGAATAATGGAAATCTGGCTTGAATAGTCTGTTTAGTGAAAGCTGTGATTTAAGGCATTTGATGGAAGCAATCACTATTTTAATCTTCACATTCTGGGGAAGGGAAAAGCTGGTTGCATTTTTTAACAGATTTTTTTTTGCCTTGTGGTTCAGCTTAGCTGTAAAAATATGTGATCATAAATGAAGCTAAATCTTCAGAAACATTTTAGTTCTGAAGGGGGGTGCTGAGTGAATCTTTTTACTTGTGTTTGTTGAGGGAAAGAAAAGGTGTGTGAAAAGCAAAACAAGTATAAATGGTTTATGCTGAGTAACTCGAGTTTACCTGCTACATTCTTGACCTATTGTCAAATTCAGTAGATTGACTAAATATATAGTAATATATGTGCTTAATATTTTTCTACAGTGAATGATATAATCATCCCTATTTGGTCACCGTATTGTAATCAGATAATCCCAGTGATGCTGGAAGAAAGCAGCTGTAAGAGTGTGGAGCAGAATTGCTGGATCTCTGTAAATAAAAGAGCATTAATCCTTTACCTGTGTGTGTGTGTCTGGAATTATTCCCACAAGACACTGCAAACCAGAAATTAACATATTGCCCTTTGGGGTGTTGTAGTGTGGAGGACAGCCGAGTGTTGGAATGTTTAAGTATTGGATTTGGGCAGATATTGCAACGGATGGAAATTTTTGTGGTACATCTGCAACACAAGGAATTGCATTGGAATTGCAATTGTGAGGATACTTCAATATGGTGCAAATCTCCATTCCTGAAAAGCGGCAGTCTCTGTACCCACATGGAAATGGTAAGGCCCCATAAAGGGGAAGGACTCTGACTGCTCTGAACCTATTGCAGAATCAGGCTCTTAATGTATATAAATGGGGCATTTTGGGGAGGGGCTCTTTAGATGGTTTTGAGAAGTATTGTAGTGCTGTTAATATTATTTGGAGTTCACCATTTGCATGCTAACCTTTTAGCATTACATTTAAAAATGGTTATAGCTTTGTTTTATACCATTCTTTTTCAGTTTATAATGAGTACATGGTACATTAAGCCAAAGGTAATCTTTTTAGTTATCGGTGCCTTAAAATAAATGTAAGAAAAAGGTCATAGTAACCGGCAAAACTAAATTTCTCTACATTTAAAATGTGCAAATTAAATAGTGATGCAAATTTAAATAAAAATGTACCTGGGCTTTACAATATAACTAAACATAAAGGAGCAAAGTTGATTCTGGCATTTCTCCCTATGAATGTCAGTATAAAAATGTAACTATTCCTTTGTGGAATATTGATGATAATAGATACAGAATTTTTTCATTCTCCCATTGAAATGCTTACTTTGGTTAAATCAATGAAGTGGACTTCAATAAGAGAAACTGACTGTATCTAGACCTCTTCTGTCCCACAGGCCTGATTGCAGCTCCCTTGGAGTTTCTTAATACTTTCCTGATCTGACGAATTGGCTAGCTAAGATATTAAATACTCTCCCTTTTTAAGGAATAACAAGTTGCTTACACAATACTCCCATCTTTCATTGCCCAATATGAAGAGGATGAAGCTTAATTTTGACTATAGTGGCTGGACAGAAGTTTGAAACTGAAGCTTATATTTCTGTCTCATGGTTGGAAAGGGTTAGAAGTGTTGCAACTCACTGAACCACTGAGTAAGGGAGTACCTCATGTTTTTGCTCTGTCCATTCAGAAGACCACTGTGTTGTTATACATGGTGTTGGAGAGCATGGAACCTGCATACAGGACTCCTGTGATAGAAATAAAGTTTAACAAAATGTGATAACAGAGGCGTAGAGATGAGAGGGATCCTTCACACTCAGAGAGGGAATCCCTGTCGCTTTACTAAAGAACATCAAACCAATACATAACTATCTGCTGTGACAGCTATAGAGACAGTTTTCATCATAGAGACCACAGAATATCCCTATTGGCCCCGATTCTGCACCATTAAAGTCAAGGGTATCTTTACTCTTGTATTCATTAAGAATAGGATCAAAGCTATTGAGAAATTGTAAGTCTCTCTAGCATTGTTCAAAATATTTGCAATGAAATCTGAAATCATGTTAATCTCATGTGGCTTACAAGTTCAATGGCAGGTTGTGATATTTTTGACTGAGTCTGCAGCAGAAATAGTTCCATATTTAACATGGTTCCTTTTTCTTCCCCTATCTTCACACAATCTCTGCATCCACATAGGGCTCTCTACCCCCAAAGAATAGATTAGCATAGGTTTAGTCCTGTATTGATAAAGCCAGACTCTGCCTCTCATTCTAACAGGTGCCAATCACTTTTCCAGCACTGTGCCTATACCAGTGTGATGAACCATGGCTGAAAGGTTGGAGACTTGTGTTTGCCAGAAAGCTCTTTATTTTTAATGTAAAAATGACTTTATAGCTAATGAACCTTGGCTAGTGTGAGAATCATGCAAACACAGCTGTTACAAATGTTTTACTCAGAGTATGAAGCCACATACATTGAAATTGAAGAAAATATTCACCTGAATACCTGTCAATGAAACTCATTGAAATAAAAGTGTGGCTTAGATATTTAGATTAATGACACATGCAAAATACACACCTATTTGTGCACTGTATGCATAAGGTTACTTCAACTGCTTCTGTCATTACGGGAATTGATGCTCCTGCAGGTTCAAAGTTAAATAGTATGAGTTTGCCCATCCTTCTTAGTGCATACTGTATCTCATTATGGGTGCCCTACAAGTCTAATTGCTTTCTCCTACCCCCCTCATTCCCTAAACATGAGGGCTGTGTCTACATTGGCATCCCTTTCCGGAAAAGGGATGCTAATGAGACACATCGCAATTGCAAATCCGCGGGGGATTTAAATGTCCCCTGCGGCATTTGCATTTACATGGCTGCCGCTTTTTTCCGGCTTGGGGATAAGCCGGAGAAAAGCGCCAGTCTAGATGTGATTCTCCGGAAAATAAGCCCTTTTCCGGAGGATCTCTTATTCCTACTTTCAAGTAGGATTTGCAATTGCAATGTGTCTCATTAGCATCCCTTTTCCGGATACTGTAGTATATATAGTGTAGTATATATTGTGTGGATTATTGAGCTCAGTGGATCAGTAGAACAAACTCTAGTTGAGAAAAGGTTAAAGGACAGTTATTGTGTTTACACAAAAATTGTTCAGTGATTGTTTTATTCTTGAAACAGTGTTACATATCACCAAAAAAGTAATAAACATTAAAATTATATATTGGTTCATAATCCACATCTTGCATGTTTATGAAATGGTATTGAAAATTTAGCAATTTACCTCATGAGTTTGAGATATTTTTTATTTTTAACCTTCGTTTCTAAGCACCCATTAAGATTATGGAGTACAGAAACAGAAATGATTGGTAATCAGGAGTTAGTGGTGCAAAGGTTTCAGTACAGTGACTATTTCTTTCAGGACCTGATTTTGATTTTCACATACTTAATAGATGGAAATGAGTTTTCTATTTCTTCCAAAACTTATGGATCACAGAATCACAAAAATCACTCCAAAAAGAGATGTAATTTTCAATTCAGGAGGTGTAACAGAAAGGCATGTATGATAGGATGTGGTACTCAAAACTGTACTCAAAACTTTTTTGTTTATTACACATCACCTAACATTATGCTATTAAACAACCAGCCTACCTTATGTATTTATCCAGGTCCCATCATTGATTCAGATTCTACAGAATGCAAGCTTTCAATTAAGAAATCCAATGTCTATCCTTTACAGTTGTAAACATAAATCCTCTTGGCTTTTGGAACTCGAATGCATAAAACATTTTGCTAGTTCTTACAGGGCATTTTTAATAAGTGTTTTGTACTGCAAATCCCTTTGCTCACATGAATATTTCATAGTGTTATGATTAGTCCCATTGACACTCCTGTGAGTAAGGACTAGGCATGAATGAGAGGTTGCAGACTGGAATCCTTTATTTCTTTTGATATTCCATGTCTTCCCCAGGCTGTTAGTTGGCTGAATATTGAAATTCACATAATTGAAATGGGAAAGTCATGTTCTTCTACTTCAGAGATTCTCAAACTTCAGTGTACCACGACCCTCTGCTGACAACAAAAATTACTTCATGGCTGCAGGAGAGAGGACTGGCACCTGAGCCCACCCTACATGGGGAGGGGAAAACCCAAACCACACTGCTCTTGGTGGCTGGAGGTAGGAGGGTAAAAACTGAAGCTCAAGGGCTTCAGCCCCAGGCAGGGAGCCTACAACCTGAGCCTTGCCATCCGGGGCAGAAACCCTTCGGCTTTGGTTTTGACCCTGAGCAGTGCAGCTCGGGCTTCCGTCTCAGGCCCCAGCTAGTCTAAGTCAGCCCTAGTGACCCCATTCACAGGGGTTGCATCCCACTTTGGGGTCCTGACCCACCATTGGAGAACTCCTGTTCTACTTACATAAACTGTAGTTTTACATGGTGCTGGTTTAGGGTTCAGAATCATTATTGACTTCCTTGAACTCACGCTTCTCTGTAGCAAAGTGTACTTGATACAGGGCTCCCAACAGGATGGGACAAAGGGGGCAGTTGCCCCATTTCAAACGGCCTGAGGCTCCCAGCTGCTGCCACAGCTACCATGGCAGCATCAGCAGCCAGAGCCCTGGACCCTTTAAGTCACCACTGGAGCCCCATGCAGTATGGTTCAGGTGATGCTGAAGGCTAGCTGGGGAAGGCTGGTCCCTAACCCCATCTCTTCTGCCACTTCCTGGGGCCCCAGAACTGAGCCCCTCCCATATTGCCCAGGGTCCAGCAAAGTGTGTCACCAGCCCTGACTGGATATCAGCACTGCATACAGACTATGTGGAAAAGGAAATAACTAACTAATGAAATGAACTAAAACTGATGTGTAACCTTGGGAAAGTCTTTGCTTCTCAGTGCCTGTATTTCCCCTCCCATCTCTTCATAGAATCCTAGAACTGGAAGGAACCTCAAGAAGTCATCAAGTCCAAGCCTCTGCACTCATGGCAGACCAAGTACCATCCAGACTACTCCTGACAGGTATTTGTCTATCTTGCCTATTAGACTATACGTTCATTGAGACGGGACTGTTTCTTATTGTTTGTAGTGGCCTAGCATGATGGCCATGATCTGGGGCCTCTAGGTGCAAATGTTACACAAATAAATAATAATATCAAATGATTTCTCCATGCTTTTCAGCAAAGAACAAAGGGACAGAATCCCAGCTCTATCGAAGTCCATGGCGCTGAGCTGATTTAGAATGAGTGAGTTTCTGGAACGAGGAGCCCAGTGTGATAGTAAGATCTCACATTATTAAGACTTTTTTGCAGCATATACAGCTGTACAGAGCAAACAGAGCATTTCTGGTCTAATAGGAAACATTATCTTAAGTAATTTTCTCAGACATCTGGAGAGCAGCTGAATCGGGGACTGGAGCTGGTTTGAAATACTCACCAATAGGCTGGGTTTAGTGCAGTAATTATTGCAAGGTGCATTATTACTCTATGGGTAGTTCACTTAGCTGATGTTACATTGTTC